ATTCACTTTCTTATTGAACATACAAATACCAGTCAGTTGCCGGAGGATCGAGTTACATTGAAATGAATTCTATGGATTTATGGGGAATTAATTTTTTGTATAAATAACTTATAATAGTCAACGGTGGTCTTGTGTCTCTTCTGCACTCTCGCGCACGTATCTTTCGGAAGCGGATAGCGGCCGAAATATTGTGACGCTTTGTAATGTGTTCATCTGAACAATATTTGTTATTTGATTTCAATCACGATATTTTTTTAAAATCAGTTTTCTTCATGCATTAATTTGCTTGAAAAATGGCTGAATTATTCGAAAGAATCCTTAAGTGATCAATTGATGACTGCTCTGATCCGATGAGAAATGAATTATAAGTTTATGATGAATTAATTATGTTTTGCAAATGCAACTTAGAAATCGCATTCCGAATATCAAAGAATGATTTTTCATGCAAAAAAATCACCAAAATCGTTGTTGTTTATTGCAACGTTTTGGTGTCATTTCTTGTGAGGAAAGTGATAGTGCCATCAAATTCATTCGTATGTAATGCAGCTGAAGTGAAATCGTTACAACATTTTTTCTTTGTGGGTTGAATCTGAAATTGTTCAGAATTGTTTATGAATGAATGCGATCTAAATGGATGATCAAAATTATGACAATGAACCAAATACGGGCATTACCGCTGGAGCATCGTTCACTATGCATGGCAATTTCCGAGGTGAGCACTTTATTTGAAGTTTTGCTCATTCAAGAATTATTGCGTAAAGTTGAATTGCAAAATTTTAAAATGCTTCATCAATGCTTCATGTTGAATGTGTTTATCAATGGGGATTTTTTTAAAGTGTTCGCGCGAGCCATTATGATGTTGAATCGAGTCGGTGAAGAACTCTATTTGGAACCGAATGAAGAGGGGGTTGGTCTCTTTGAAATACTTTGTTCGTTTAAGAAATTTTGTTCGTTTTGAATTCCGAATATTGCGATGCTATCGTCTCTGTTCAGTTGATATTCGTTTTCTCCACACCCGATCATACGGATTTTCTTTGAATCGCAATCAAATGCGCATTTCTTACAGTTGGCTCTCCGAGCGCTGAATTCAAGTAAATCGGCATATGCGACATTCCTCTTCTCGAGCACTTTCTTTATCAGTTGTGATTTAAGAAGTATCAAAAACAGCGACTATAATCTGTGTAGGATTTCAATGAAGGTTTGTTGTTGCATTGCATTAATTATAGGAACCACTTCATGGCATACTGATTTTATTTTTCGCATTTCGCTTTCATGATACATCGCTAACGGTATGCTAAAACCGATCTACTGACTTCTGTAGAAGAATATTGGGGTATGTTTTTGCTAATCGAATTGGAGCCGATTGAAATAGTGTTCAAGTTCAATCGAATCAAATTGCTCATCGAATGCCTTTTGCAGTGTGCGTTATCCGCATTTCGTAGTGTAAAGAGCTGCGATAAATCAGTTCTATCCTGTCGACTTTTTATCAATCCAAAAGCTGATTCTATGTTGGT